ACCAACAAACGATAAAAAAATATGAAAATTAATAAAGTCGAAGTTGACCGGCTAAGTTACCGGAGCTCGATACTACCGCTCTGGTGAAAAGGACGCGACTCCAGCCAATGAAATGATGGCATGGCATGAGAGCGTTAGGAGGAGGAGTATCTTTTAATATAAAATTTTCACATTTGGACTTTGCGTCGCAATATCTCCGCTCGTAGGGCACGTAGCGGAATATTATAAGAGAAACTCCCCCCCTAATTGGACCCCAAGCTATCGATCAAGCCTACTTAAAACTTGATTCGTTCACTCAATATATCCATATTCGGTTCCATTTGATTATATATGCTATATAAAATTAATTTATACTTTTAGTACAATAAAACAAATTAGTGTGTATGAATTTTGTCCATTAAGCTATATATAACTTTTATTACAGTTTTTATAAACTATATATCTAAGCAATACCTAGTCTTGGTAATTTACAGTATCTAGATTTACAAAATCTAGGCTTCATATTGTAATTAAAGCTATTGTAATTAATATTGTAGTTTTCGTTATGCTCGTATTTACGGTGTCAATCTCAATGTTACTGTGCTACTCGCATCACCAGATCTTTGTCTTTATCGTTGATCTCATACAAATGCTATTGTAATAATATTGTAATTAATATTGTGATTAACAGCTTCTATATTAATCACCAAATATAAGATTATAGATTATTTTTATGATATATATAATTAAGTTAGATTCTCACGTTTAGTTTTACTTTTTCATAATATAGCATCTAATAAAGAAGCAGATTATTTTAATAAGTTGTGTGAGCTTCTTGGAGTTAAAAATTTACGATTGGAGCTGCGAAACATACAAAGTATTATTCCTCCTGAAGATCCTATTCTTGTCGAAGTTAAAAAGTATTTACATATGTCAGAATCTATTATCGAAGATCCTCTACAATGGTAGAATAAAATTAAGTTGTCTCTGCCGAATTTGTACAAATATTGGTATGCTGCATTTATGCCATACCGATTACAAGTTCAGCATCTGACCGCGCATTTTCTTCTGCAGGTTTTTGCTTATCACAGCAAAACGTTCTTCGTTAAAATAATCAAAATCTAATAAAATATTATTTATTCTTGATAATTATTTTAAATTAATAAAAGATATGTATTTAAAGTCAGTAAAATAAGTTTTACATTAAGTATAAGTTATATTATTCATATTATTTATACAACTTAATATATGTGAAGAAATGTTTAATAAGTAAGAGAGAAAGAAGTCTGATATCTGATAGTTATACAGTGAATTACATTTTATTTTTGTTACGTATGATGGTCAGGAATAACATTTTATAAGATAAATTTTATTTTCTTTTATGAAAGAAAAGATATTAGTAATGCTAAAATAAAGTGATTGTATTTTGAAAATAAAAAGTGCTGAGTATTTATTGTTTGCTATTTTTGTTCATATTATTTATGAAAAGTTAAAATTGAACTTTATTTTAAGTCAGGAGGATTTAAAAAAAATGTATTAACGCCGCAGTTCGCCGTCGCCGCCGATAAATTATTACCCGCCAATTCCGCCGCCGCTGAAAGAGAAAAATTATCGGCGAACTTTGCCGCCGCCAAACTATTTTGCTTCAAACGCCGCAATTCACTACCATTCACTATTGCGCTGTTCATAGAGCCTGTAAACGCTATAGCGTCTCCCCGAACGCACCCATGGATAGCTTATCAAGTTATCATAATACCAGCTATTACAAATGGCGTACTTTTCGTAATTGGAAATTGGATGAGGGAGAAGGAGAGAAGGAGACAGGGTGGGATGTTTTGATGACGGGAGGGTGGGAGGGGGGATAGGAGAGAGAGAGAGAGAGAGAGAGAGAGAGAGAGAGAGAGAGAGAGAGAGAGGTTAGGTTAGCAATTTTAGCATATCGTCACCGGTCAGGCGGTCACATTAATCATCTTCCGCGGTAACGCGTCACGCAATCCGCGTTCATGCTAGAATTTTATATTGCTAGTTCAAGATAGCAAACCGAATAGCTGTCACTATGGCAAATAAGATCAAGGTGAGAGAATTTTAATCTACTTTATAAACATATGGCGACATTGTTTGAAGGAAGTTTACATCTCAATTCAGGGGTCATATATATTTTTTTATTATATTTATACCAACCGCATAAATATTACAAGCGGTTGATTTCAAAAATTACTCGATACACAAATATCTGACATGTTGCATTATTAGATATTATATATGTAATAATATTATTATTATTATTTTTTTT